CAGCGGATATGTCGATCTTGAAAGATGAAATATCCCTGTCATATTTGAAATTAAATTTTCGGTGTCTGCATCTTCCGATTTTAGTTTAGACGAGATATAACTYTTTATGTCATCGACAGTGGTAACCGCAGCAAAGCTTGAGATAAATATTGCTTTTTTCCGCGRTATTACAATTAAGTTTTTACCACCTGACTTACAGTTATTTGGAAGTGGATTCTGAGAAGATTTTCGCTTACCATGCTCAGTGACAGCTTTTCTGTATTCTGAGCAGACGAAACCTTCTCCCCTTGTGAACAAGGAAACGAAATATTTATGAGGTAATATTGGGTGGAGGCATTTTTTTTATGGAAGAAGCAGTGGTCTTTTCATCAGACGGACGTTTACGTTTATTGGAAGGTTTTGGATTCTCTTCCTGGTCATTCAGGCATTTAAATGATTTAAACAACGTTTCATAATGCCTAAATTTATTTGTAAGGGTTTCAAGCTCATGGCCAATCTCTTTAAAATTATTGCGCGCCTGCTTAAAAACTTTAAACAAATCAATTTCAGTTGGTCTGCATTTAATACAAGACCAGCGCAAGCCCTTACTGTCAAGAATAGAATCCAAAATTCTTCCTGTCAGTCCAGCACATTTCAGATGGGCAAGCCAGCAAGAAACAAAGCGTTCCGACTCGCCTTTAACAGAACAATTCGGGAAATTGCAAGTCATAATGATAATAAACAGCAATAAAAAAAAATTTAAATMAAAATATAAAAAATTAAATAATAAAAGTAGAAAGAGAAATGACAAAAGTATTTATAACAAACAAATGCAATATAACTTGTCAAAGGCAACAACCAATGTAGTGAGCAGTTTGAGATGCACTGTGATACCAGAAAAGTAAGAAACTCGCAAACAGCTGTGAACAAAGATGAAAACAAATAAAAACAAGAAAGAAATTTAGTTAGGCAGTTTACTCACCTTTTTGGTTTTTTTCAGTGAGTTGTGTTGAATGAAAAAGTTCGCGTATGAGTAAATCAAGAAAATAGTGATTTTTGCAGTTCTCTGATGTGTACGTACATATAGAGAATCGCGCGCTTTTTATATTTCTGATAAATGATAATATCTTGATTCGAAATTGGTTTGTACTTGCATACACTGCCGCTCAACTGAATAAGTTCATGATCTCAGAGGTAGGAATATATCTATAATTCCTAAACCAGTTTTCCGATTTACATAATTTTTTTTTCTTCAATTCTTAAATCATATCAAAATAAAATGGTGAAAAAGGTTTTTCAAAAACATATTATTTCTTCTTCTGAAAGGTTAACAAAATCAATGATATTTTTTCGTTCATCCGAATAGGTTCAACCTAAAAAAATTAAAATTATATAAGTAACTTAAGATAATTTTCATATTTTTGGCATTTAGCTTATACTTAAGTGCATTTCTAAAGTAATTTTTAATAAGTTTAATAATGAGTAAATCCGCCGTTTTTTGATATAACTTCATATAAACGATCGGGAAGCGAGCTATACAAATTCTGCAGTATTTGCAGCGAA